AAGCATGCACACAACAACAAACATCATTATTTTTGGTCTCAACTCGCAGAACCTTTCTGTTTCTGGAAACAATTTGCAGGCGTTTGGACTTTTTTCATCAGCCAAAATGGGGGAAACTCAAGCTGGTATTAAAAAAACACAAAACCTTTAAAACAACGGATGAGGAGAGGTGATAGGCAGCTGTCTACTGGTACGCATTTGTGCCTGTGATGTTATGCCGTGTGCAGGGTAAAAAAAGGCTTAGATGAATTACCAGTACATGTACAGTGATAGGTGGTGAACGGAGGAAACCAAACCCTCGAGACGGCAGCGCGTCGGATAAAAGTTCTCCCTGACGACAGGAAATCAAAATAGCACCTTTTTGGCCTTGAGAAGAGAGAAACGTCATATTTTTGTTCTACAAATACCTGTTGCTTCTGCAGATGGTTTGTCAAGTCGGTCATATTTAGACTTTCCATTTCCGTTGATTTTTTCTTTTTTTCTTTTTTTTTTGTTCTTCTTCAGCCCCTGTTAACTGCAATCCTATTAGCGCTCTTGCCTGACTCACCCAAGCCTTATTAGGTAAATCAGGCCAAAGTGACGCTTCTTCCTTTATATCTGTCATTTGCATACACACTTTCGAATTCACAGCAGTAAATATGGGCAAACAAACCACAGCCGAACGCACATTTTGTTTTTTTGTTACAGTGAATATCTCCTGAGGCAGGTGTTGGCTGATGTGAACCCAGTGTTGCTTCCAGTGTATTTAAAAGAAATTTATATTTATATCCGTATTTGAATGTGAATTCTAGTTGTGTGGTTTTGAGAGAGTCGGGTTGTGTTTGATTGATCTCACACACAGAAAGTCAGCTGTGTATTTGAGGTCTGTCTGTCATTTTCTTTTTAATTAATTTTTTTTAATCACATCACAGTGATCATTAATGTTTACGATGAAGTCAAGTTTGCAGGGGTCACTGTGACTGTGGATCAGATCTGTTCCAGGTCAGCTCACTGGCTTTATTCTCTCTAATGTTTATTAGTGGGGAAACACACTCTACTGTACATGGCTGTTCATTTCAATAGCGGAGGACAGATGGCTGCAGCCTGCAGGCCACACACACACACACACACACACACACGCAAACACATGCACACACGATGCATATGTGTGTGTGTACCCACAGACGGACATGTTATAACACACAATGCATGCAACACACACGCAGAGTGAGCGGTGCAGTAGGTGTGTGGTAATGAAGGCTGACTGAACTCAGATAATGTACACCTGCTCACACACGCGTTTCCTGTAGCTGGAGCAGTAAAACACAAAGACCGAATCAAATATATATATACATACTTGCATGTGTATGCACTTGGATTCTAATATTATTTACCACAACTAAAAAGGTTAGGAACCACAGGCGCTCAGCACAGTATATTTGGATTGTGTTCAGGAGTTTCTGGATGTGTTTCTAGTGTGAAAGGCAAAGGGAATGTCTGGTGTGTATTTAAAAGAAGACCTAAAGCAGGTATACGGTGGGCCGGGCCGCTCCATCTGGAGCCTTCATCTGCATTTGACATCCCAAATCTGTTTGCATTTCTAATGTGGAGGCTGAGACAAATGGCCAACCTGCTGCTAATCCATCATCTCGTATTAAAGAGAGAGAGAGAGATGATGATGATGATGATTATGAGTTCTCTCTTCATCATTTTTTGTTCTCTCTCCTGTTTACCTCTGTGGGTCAGTTCTTTTCTTCGTCCTCTTTCAGACCTCTCGGCGATAAACTGAGCCAATCCCTCACTTAAGGTGTGCTCATAAAACTGTTTACATTTGTTATTCTACTGCACATCTGCTGTCTGGCTGCTGCTTCCCAGCAACATTCTGAATACTGTCCAGAATACATCTGCTCATTCACTAACACTGAAAAAATAATTGCTTGTAATTTCTTTTTTTTTTTACTATTTACTCAAACTGAGTCATGAGTGTAACCTTAATGTACACAGCACTGTTAGGTGTTGTGCTCTCACCCAGCATACAGCAGTTTGAAGGAGCTTGTCACAACTGGTAGACATTAGCAGGTGATGATGATTTGAATGTGGACACTTTTTTTTTTTTTTTTTTAAAGCTAAAATAGTTATAACCAACAGCACATTTAGTTCTTTTCACTTTCTTGAATTCTTCTTATTTTTTCCCCTCAACAAACACAAGCTTTATATTTACATTAAGTATATGAACCTGTTCTAAGTAGACAAACAAAAAGCCTGCCTTGGTAGGATGAGACATCATGGATCCTGCTGAACACATTTGCACTGTTACCTCCTTGGATGTGTTCCTGTTGTTGCACTTAGTGATTCACATGAAAAGTGACAGATGTAGTTTGTGCAAAATTAAAAGCGAGCGTTTGAGTGAAGGTGCTCGATGTCCATAAATCAGGCCTGTTGCTGTATAAATTGATTGTGAAAGCTCTGTTGTTTGTTTAAAGAGTATGAAAAACTGCCAGATGAAGACCTGCAGATTCTGACGTCAGCACATGTGATTCTGTTCAATGATTTGATCAGCAGTTTGAAGCATGTTTAGGCCTTTACTCCTGGTGAGTTCTGCTCCATATTTATAGTAGCTTAAGAGACAAAAGATCGACCAGTTATCCAGGTGAAACCAGCAGGAAAAGCAGCTCCTCCACTGTGTTGCTCTTGGGCCTCTATCGTTTCCATCTCACATTTATGGCCGAGTCAGTCCCATGAAACAGTTTGAGAATGAAACAAGTCCAGGTTTCCTCTGACATGCCTCTTCTGTTTTTCTTCTTGCATAGCGGAGGTTGAGCATCCAGATGGCGCTCTGCTCTCCGACTCCCTACCCCCCCACCCACTCGGCCTGCCCTCCCATCCACTTGGCCTACCTCCCCACCCTTTGGACCCCAGCTTGGCCCACACCCTGCCGCCTGGCCTCCATGCCGACCACGACCTGCTGACCTGCGGCCAGTGCCAAATGACCTTCCCGCTGGGCGATATACTCCTCTTCATTGAGCACAAGAAGAAGCAGTGCCAAACACCGCTGCTGGCCAATGGCTGCTATGACAAGATGAACGACCGAGGAGGAGGAGGAGGAGGAGGAGGAGGAGGAGGACAAGGAGGAGGGAGTCCAGCTCTGCAGAGCCTTCATCACTATGCCCAGCGGGTGGAGCTACGGAAGGTGGTGGAGCCGGTGGAGATCGGAATCCAGGTGACACCAGAGGAGGAGGAGGAGGTGGTGGTGGGAAGACGAGGGGAAGGAGGTGAGAGGGGAGCGAAGACGCCCACCAAAGGAATTTGCCCCAAGCTGGAGAACACACTGGCTGGTAGGCATGACAAACACACACTCTTTAAAGAAGTAGGTCAGCATTCTGGGAAACACACTTATTTGCTCTCTTTCTAAGAATTAGATGAGAAGATTAATATCAATCAAAGCACAGAAATGGAGACAGGGCTGTGTTAGACCAGATTAGCATTTAAAATAAGAAGCAGATAAGGTTTGCATGGCCTTGTCCACACTTCATTTTTACACCTACACCTGCTTGTTATGGAAAATGTGAACAAGTGTGATACAAAAACACTTTAAATTATTTGCTATTCACATTGTATGGGATGTGTTCCTTAAATGAGAAGGAGGCTTATCCTTAAATGGTAACTCCCAAATGTAATGCATCCCCAGAGAAAGTTTGTAGAGTAGCAAACCTGCTGGAAACAAACAACGCTGCGCCTTGTGTTTTTTGCCACAACAATTTGGAAAATGTCTTGAATCACTTGCCAGAAACGCGTCTTTATTAGATCGATCACACAAGATGCTTCTGTCCTTAGAACCTAATTTAAACTCAATATTTAATACAGGTTTCTTACGATTTAGGGAGAGACCAGTGTGACAAGCATGGCAGCTTTTTCTTTCTCTTTCGTTGTGTGTATTTATTTATGTATTTGCTGTATCACAGGCTGTGCTGCTGTCCTTCAGCTGCTGTATGTTTCCAGCTATAGTGCAGGTTGCCAGACATGGTTGGTGACCACAGGGTTTGATATTATGTTTTGTACGAGCACGACCATGCCGACCCTCAGAACCTCTCTGTAATGTTTCACGCAGAGCACTGATTTCTTGTTTTCCAAGAAATAGTTCCAGCACGTCCCACCAAACATGCTCCCTTAAAATCAAAACTTGGAGACGGTTATAAGTCATAGTTTCAGGCCTTATTGTTACCTGGCATTGACACAGGATACTGACATCCAATCCATTTACACCAGGTATTAAAAAGCAGTCTTGTTAGCTCAGTGACGCCTGCAATTTAATCTAATCTCGATATTCAAATTAGTTCAAAGGGCCTGACTGTGTCAACAAACATGATATGTTCCAGGTCAGGTGATGCAATGCTGCCCTACAGCCTCTTTTTTTTTCTAACGTTACTGCTGACTACCTGTAGATTTTGCCAGATAGATTGAATTTGAAAGATGAGATAGTGTTAGGTAAAGTTTCAACTTGGGGGCTGATATTTCTTCTCCTGAATGTAATCTGGTCACAGTGTGAGCCCAACCACCAGGTCTGGACAACTTGATCTTCGACTTTCTGATCCAAGTGTGTTCTGCTGCATTTACACCTGCATGAAAATGTGTTTGATTTAATCCACGTAATTTATTTGGATTAAATTATATATAACTATCAGACATCATTTAAAAAAAGGCAAAAAGCAAATTTCCCAAAATGTTGAACTACTGCATTCCAAGCAAAGTGTTTGGGATGTGCCAAACCTGCAGTGTTTAAAATCCGACTTAGACCTTTGTTTGACCAGCTATACCAACTGTATGTACACAGATTTGTTGTTTCAGTTTTTGTGGAGGCATCCTGTTGCAACTTAGCCCGTCTTCTTCAACAAAAGAGAAAGAGATGTTCATTTCATTAGAGGGAGAGGACAACAGAGAGAGGAAGGGATGAGAAAGAGGGGTGAGACAGGCACATTACCCACTTAAAGCTCTAAACCCCCTCAAGGACTCGGCTAGTTGAAACAAATTGTGCAAAACGTGACAGAGAGACTCACCCCGACTTTCATGGAGAAATCCAGCCTAAGCCATCTGCTTAAAAAGGTGAAAAGCTCATTAAAATTCAAATAAGCAAAGCCAGGAAAAAAAAAAAAAAGGAAAAAAAAACACCATGAGAGGAGAAGGAGAGGAAAAAGACAGAGAAAGAGGGATTAAAAAGAAGCTAGTTTCTCCCCCAATCGGTGGGGTAAAGAGGCAGTTTAGCAGGAGAGCTGCTGCGGGGGGAAGAGCACCAGCAGTTATCTCGCAAACCAGTCAAGACACTTGTGAAGAAGCCAGAGCAGGAAGACAGAATATTCTGCGACAAGAACTCAGTCATGGCTTCCTAGAGGTCAGTGTTTGCAGAGCTGGAAGTGTGCGGCTCACTCCTCAGCGGCGGGTCGTCGCCAACAACCAGCAGGTGCTGCAGTCACCCACAATGGTGAAATAAAAGCTTCTTAGAGAGAGAGAAAAAAAAAAGAAGCATACAACACATCTCTTCAATCTGACAGGAAATGTGGTTCAGATCAAAATGAGATGCTGTTCGAGGTTGTTCAGTTTTGAAACCAGTAGTAAAGTAAATCTTGATGGTTTTCACGAACACGTCTGGGTTCAAAGTAGGATCGGATCTATAACAGCAAGCTAACCTGAAATTTCTACGGTCTCCTTTTAGGGAAACTTGTACCTTTTTGTGCTTCGATTGTGGAGGATGTGTTTATATCAAACAGGAAGGGTCCATCAGAATTTGGGTTCTTTCAAACAGTGTAGTCTTTAAGCTAATGAAGGTTTACATCACACTCAATATCAATGTAAGCTTTGCTTCAAGAACAAAACCAAAACATAACAGACTCAGATAAATACATCCAGCAATGATGCTTCATATTCACCTTAAAAATCCAAACAGTTTGTCATGTGGACTCAAAGCAAGCTGATCAGTTGGTTCAGCTCATGTTCGGATGCAGTTTCACAGAAATGAAAACCTACTTCAAACATACCAAAGCCAACAGTGTGCTCTAGAAATATAACAATAAAATCATAACTTGAACCTGTAAGTGGACCAGTCCCAGATAATCTGAGAAGGTTTCTAAACATATAAATAAATTAGTTTGTATTTTGCGCAGAAAAAACGAGTTTTTCCTTTCGTTGTAAAATTAACCCAAACCTGATGAATAAATAATGCAACACGGTCTCAACAAATTATTAAATATTCGCTGAGCAAAAAAAAAAAGTCTGCGTAGCAAAACAAAACCTTTAGAAATGCCAAATTGTTGTTTCCAACGTGTGCACTATGAGTCACGATTACATGAGAACATCAAGACATTAGGAAGCACTTGAATTGAATTTAGCCTTAAATTAAAAGCGTGAAACACGTCCAGCATCACTCCTCGGTGGATTCTTGTCACTAGCACACTAATCCTTGCATTTCTTCCACATCTGTCTTTGTCGTCTGCTTGAAGTGTGTGTGGCTGTTCAGGAAGCTGATTTATTTCCTTTCTTGGGACAGAAACACTCGTGATTTTGTCTTTTTTTTTGGTGTAATATCTGTATGACGTTTGGATGGAAACATAACTAGATTCAGCAGCCACAGTCTAAATTTAGAGGAAAACTTTGGCTCAAAGCCACGTGAGGAAATGCACTCGCAGGTAACTCTCCTGACTCTGTTTCCACATTTAGTGTGTTGCAGCAGGACAGAGCCCCTCTGAACATGTCAGTCTGCGGTTTGGCCTACGCTGTAAACACTGTGTTTGGGCCTGAACTTCATCAATATTTTACCAAGCACTTACAACTGTGCCAGGCAGCCGCGCAGTGCTGCTGGGGGCAGTACAGCCACCTGTATCTCTGAAAGCTCAGTACTTAGCTCTGGAACTGTGCTTCACATTTAGCACACGACAGTAGTAACTGTAGGGTGCAAACAGCTTCGGTACAAGCCCAGAGTGTCTGCGGAGCCGTGCTCAGATGTGTGTACTAATTGACTGGCGTTGGTTACGTTATTAGGTTGACATTATTCATATTTATGTGCATAAATATATATTTTCCCCCTGCGTTTAAATGCTTGCAATATATCTAACTGCAATCCTCCCGTGAAATCAACCCCACATGTGCTGCGTTGGAAGGCTTCAAATTGTAATTGCACAATATTTCTTTATAACAGAAAGCGCAATAATTTTCACATTAAAAGCAAAAACATATTAGCGGCTCAATTGGACGTGCACTGCGGCAACTGTAAACTATATTGCTCCAATAACATTTTATGTTTCAAAATTACCCTCGGTATTTCACAATTTCCACATGAAATATGTCCAACTAGCACCTTATTAACACGAGGAGAGGACAGAGCGGTTTATTAATCAAGACGGAGTTTAATTTGGAGAGAACACACTCAGCCCCGCTCACTGGGGGATTGAAAAATGGCAGGTGGAATTTTCTCTTTGTAACTCAGGCAGAGTTTTTCCTCCAGTAGAGTTTTACACCTTTCATTACCTGGTGAAAGAGGGGCAAAAAGAGAAAGAGATGTAGAAGAGAGGCAGGAGAGCAGAGAGAGAGAGAGCAAGGGGAAAACTGATCAGGGAGTTTGAATGTCAGCTCAGAACACGACTGACGACAACGCTTCGTAATTGGCTCCCAGCAGGTCAAACTACTCCTTTATTCTCAAGCTTTTCCACTTTCATTTGTTCTCCATGTGAAATGGAACATGCATACACACATATTCACACACCTACAGGAGCATCATGCCAAGTCTTTTTTTTTTTTTTTTTCCTTTTTTACCCCAAAACTAGAAAAGGTGTTCCTCCTCTGTGAGCGCTGCTGATGTTCTTTCTTTTCCCTGCATCCATCTATCAGACTGGAAGACAGAAATAAAGGGGCACACAGAGCTTTTTCTTTTCAGTTTATGCAACTTACAGTGGAGTCAGTGCAAACGGATGTCACAGTAGTTTTGATTCGTGTGACACACATATGTGTTGTTGTGCCGTTGTGACTGTCAGGTCACAGACAGGAAGGCTTCGTTCAGTGCGTATGATTTGTGACAAATTTGACTGTGGCAGTTTTTCGACGGACTCATTTTGCTTTACAGCACTCTGGTCCTTCACATTTATTTGGTTAATGTCAAAGTACATATTAGTACTGTGTAAAGAAGTGCAGTGTCACACAAAACATACGTCATGTGCCTGATTTCGTCGATAAAAGAATTCTCACAATTTCATCGCATGTTGCCGATGCACTCTAATTAAGCTCTGATAGAAAACACTGTCTGGTCAAAGGGGAAATAATAACACCAGATGACACAATTTATGCAAAGAGT